GCTACATCAGTGACTACTCGGTTGGACACTAGCGCCCGGCAAGTCCAAAATTGACTACAGGGAAGATGGTGGGGTGCTCCCGCCGCTCCCGCATTGCGCTCCCCCATGGCGGCCTCCGTAGCCAGAGCGGCCAGGCCGCCTCTTGCGGCCAGGGCCTGGTCATGCTGCAGCCTGCTCAGTCTCTCTCCAGCTCATGGTTCCAGTGGCGCCTGGGGCCGGGGAGGCAACAGCCCCCTCCCTGGCAAAAACCGCAGTCGCCAGACCCCTAGTCCCAGCGGCGGGGCTGCGCGGCCCAGCCCGGCAGTGGCAGCGAGGCCGGGGGCTGAGTGGTGGCTGCTCCCAGCGGCTTCTTCCAGGGGAGGATTTTGTAAATTTCACAAAATGGCACGTGCTCCAAACCTCAGAGCTTGTACTTTGAGAGTCTCCTTCAAGGTCTCAGCAATCCTTCAGAACAATCCACCTGAGTAGTAACAGCTACCCCCGGCGCAAGCAAGGACACTAGAGATTCTGACTCACCATCAGGCTTTCTGAGTTCCTCTTCTTGCTGGTGGCCTCTGAGATCCTGCCGGCTCGGGGTGCGAGTGGCTCACTCCCTCCCCGCCGTGTTTTCCGGACCTGCCTTGAAGTTCTTATATTACCATTCTGGGCCCACTAATTGTTTCTAACAGAAACAAGCAGCTTTTTTTCTTTGCTTTTTTTCTCTGAAAACTGTTACTTCCTTGCAGCAAAACTCTATATCCACTACAGGAGCTCGAAGTTATTGCAGTTTTGGAGACAGGGAAGTCTGTGTCCCAGGGGGTGCATCTGGTGAAAACCTTCCTCTGGCTGGAAACTCTCTTCAGGGTCCCATGACTTTTGGGGCTGCCAACGTAGGTAAAAGTAAAGGTGGAGTCTGAGTATCAGAAATCTGCAAACAGGCAGTCCTTCTCGGCTCTGGACTTCTGGATCACGACGTCAATATCCTTTTGAATTCGCTCTTGCCTTGAACACATACATCCCCGTTAAATCAATCCCAGTTCTTCCCTCCTAGGTATTTCTGTTCATAAAATAAAGCAGAATCAACGGGCATGTTCCGGGTCTCCATTTTCAGAGCTGAGAAGTCCAAAATCCAGGGAACACGTCGGTGATGGTCTTGTTCTTGGTGATGGCTCCGGGGCAGGTGGACCAGCGGCTCAGGCCCGAAGCTGTCCAGGGCCCACAGAGCCCCACCGAGCGCAAGACGGAAACCCCCACACAACCCTGAGCTGGAGGTTCCCGCCTCTGAGGCGCACACTGTGCGGCGTGGTCTAAATGTTATTTTTTTAAAAAGATGATACACTGGGTATGCGCTAAACCATTATGTGTAGAAAATACTATTATTACAAATGAAGAATATGAGGTTTAGAAACAGTGGATGAATTCCCGCAAATACTCTATTATATGATTGTACACATTTTTATAATTAAAAAACAGGCAAAGTTAACTTATAATGTTTACGGATACACACGTGGGTAATGAAACTATAAAGAAAAAGAAGAAAGTGATTTCCACAAAAGACAGAAGAGTGACTAATGCTAGAACTAAAGGAGGGCTGCAGTTGAGTAGGGGACAAAGAGGGCTCCTGGTTGGCTGATAAGTTATGGGTAACGTCTGTCTCCTGGTATGGGTAATGGTTTGTATTATCTTTTGCTGTATAAAAAATTATCCCCAAATTTAGCAGATTAAAATAACTATAATCACTTATTATCTCGCAGTTTTTGAGAGTAGAATTTGTTAGCATCTTATCTTAACTTGGAATTTCCTGAGTTGTGATGATGCCAGCCTAGGCTGAGTCATCTGAAGGTTTAACAGGGACTAGAGGATCCATTTCCAAGGTGGCCCATTCATGTGGCTCATGATTTATGCAGGCTTTTGACAGGAGGCCTTAGTTCTTCCCATGTGGACTTCTCCCTCAGGCTTCTTGAGTGTCCTCATTATGTGACAGCTGACTTCCTTCAAGTGAGTCATCTAACTAACTTCAGAGTTAGAGTGATCTAAGCATTGCAGTGTCTGTTATGACCAAAAAGTCACACTCCATTATTTCTTAAATCCTATTAGTTACGCAGGTCAACCCTGTTCACTGTGGGAGGAGGCAACACAGGATATTGAAAACCAAGGGGCAAGAATCATTAGAAACAATCTTTGGTTTTTTTTGTTGTTGTTGTATTTTTTTGCAGCTGGCTGGTACAGGGATCAAACCCTGGTCCTTGGTGTTATCAGCATCATGCTCTAACCAACTGAGCGAGCTAACCAGCCAGCCCATTGGGGACGGTCTTGAAGGGTACCACATGGTTACAAGAGTGTTTGCCTCATAATAATCCATTAAGCTGTACATTTGTTTTATGTGATTTTCAGTACTTATGTAAAGAAGTTTTTAAAAAAATTTTACCTGTTGACATAGAAAAGAGTATTATTCTATTATTACAAATCATCAATATGAAAGACTCTTTGTCCTCATCATAGCTGAACATTTATTACAATGTTTGGGACACAGTGGTACATAGTGAGGATATAAGGGACTTGTCTTTGTGTCTTATAGTCTAGTTGGGAATGTACATTAAAAATATTAAAAACAAGTACAGTGGTCTTTTTTTCATCCAGTGTAATTGTCCAGACTCTTGGTTACAGTTGATGGAACCCCTATTCAAGCTAGCTTAAGTAATGTAGAAATGTATTAGTCCGTGTAGCTAGAAAGAATGCTAGGTCACAGCATCAAAGAATGACTTGAAGAATGAGTTCCAGGGCCTTGGAAACTAGAATTGGAGTATTTGGGGGCTATCTTTGTCCATTTTCTCTATCTGGCTTCATTCTGCAGACAGGTTCTCCTCAAATGGCCAAGAAGATGGCCAGCCACAACCCAGCTTCAAATACTCCCAGTTCAGAAACCCTAATGGAGAGAACTTCTTTCCCTCGCAACCCATACATTCATATCATGTAAGGGAAGAGATGCTTATTTGCTCTAGTAAGGTCATCCCCTGCCATTTTGCTGGGTCACAGGGTACTATAATTGGTCATCTTTGGGCCCAAGGGAATATAGGGTACTGATGATGCCATCCTCCACTAGAATCACATGGAGGGCAGAGAGCTGGGCTCCCAAAGGAAAGGATGGTGGGCAGGAAAAAACAGCATATGTGCACTGCAACAAATGACTACACTTTTGTATCCAGCAACTGTACTAGCAGCATTGACTGCCTGGGAACGTGTTAGAAGTGCAGAACTCTGGGTTCCAGCCCCAGAATACCAGATCCTGCATTTTAAGAAGATCCTGGGGTAATTCATATACATGATAAAGTTTGAAAAGTACTTTTCTAGATAATTATTTTAACCCTGTAAGGATTAATAATTACATGGTTTTAACTATTTTGGATGGAAACTGTCCCACAAGATATTTCCATATAAATGAGATGTTAACTGTATCAAGTTCCAAATGAGCAGCTTTAACAATAAGTACTATAGAGAGAGGCCTGGAGTGTTCAGGAGAGGTTTTTGTGAAGGAGCGTAGCCTTGGCTTAGAAGGAAGGGAAGTTTGTGGTATGTTCAAGGGGCAATGAGAAACTTATGTGGCTTGAGTAATGAATCCCTAAGGAGAGTAAGAGGTCATATTATGAAGGATGGCATCTCATGCTTTGCTGAAAGGAAGGGGGAGATAGTGGTGACATTAATGTGGAAATATAGGGGATGTAGGCGGTTTTGGGGGAAAGATAATTGGATTGTTGAGTTTGAGAGCTCCACAGATAAAGATGTCCAAAAGGCACTTGAATATGTAGTAGAGCTCTAGAAAAGGCCCATGTCTGGGGATATATAAAGGTGTATTTCCATTTTTTTTTTCTTTTTTTGTCTTTTTTCGTGACCGGCAACGGATCGCAACCCTCAGTGTCACGCCCGTACTGGACCAGGACCAGCAACGGGATCGCAACCCTCGGTGTTGCGTCCGCACCTCGCTCAGCCAGTGAGCCACCGGTCTGTATGTGGGATCCGAACCCTCGGCGGGAGCGCCGCTACGCTCCCAAGCGGCGCACTGTAGCAGTGCGCCACCGGGCCAGCAAGTGTATTTCCATTTTGATAAACTAAAAAAACAAAAGTAATTTTTACCTTATTCTATTTGATTTGTAGATACAATTGTCATATGAAGTTGAACATGGCAGAAGAAGAGGACTATATGTCTGATTCCTTCATTAATGTCCAGTAAGTAAATGGGCACATCTAATGTAATGATATGTATAAGACATGTATAGATTATTAAGCAATAACATTGATTTTAAATATGAAATTGGAAAGTTAATCTTATTGTTTCATGGAAATACCTCTTATGTTTCCATACAAATATACTCGGAGACCCTTCCTCCCTTTTAATGCTAAGCATTTTACATCTACCCTTGATCCATTTTATTGCTGTCTTCCAAGGAAATTTGCTCCTTTTCCTTTATTTCATCTTACTGTCTTTTCTAGCTACTATTCATCTTTGCTCTTTATTATTGCCAACCTTTAAAAAAAATTAGTCTAAATTTACTATTTCTAATTTCTTCAACTCTATACTTTCTTTAGTTTCCTACAATCTGACACCAGCCTTTATCATTTCTACAAAAACAGCCATTCTTGGAGGTCATTGATTATATCAGTGACAAGAAAGGTGATCATAGAGGTAGTGTTGAACTGCTGAAATATTAGTGTCAAGTGAATAAGTGCAAAGTTATGAAAAAACTTCGTGTACTAGTCCAAAATAACCTTTCCCCTTATTGTTCAGAGAAGATATCAGACCAGGATTGCCAATGCTGAGGCAAATCCGAGAAGCCCGTCGAAAAGAAGAAAAGCAACAGAAAGCCAATTTGAAAAATAGGCAGAAGAGTTTAAAAGAAGAAGAACAAGAAAGACGTGACATTGGGTTGAAGAATGCACTAGGCTGTGAAAACAAAGGGTTTGCTTTGCTCCGAAAGATGGGATATAAAAGTGGTCAGGCTCTTGGCAAGAGTGGTAAGTCACACTTGGAAATATACAGGCATTCCTAACCACCCAATTGTAATTTATTGATGAAGACCAGAGATGACTCTTTATCTAGCTACACAGAAATTAAAATAACTTAAGCTTCTTAGTCTCTACATGCTAACAAGCCTTATAGAGAACTTTCATCTTCCCACATCCATTTTAGACACTATATGTGCCATCAAGAGCTGCTTGTCAGCCCAGCTCAGCGTTGGAGGCACTAATAACTGGGGTTCATGTGACTTATAATGGAGGCAGCCAAGAATGGTAACAAGTGATGGGTTGAGAAGTACATGGCCAGAGGACAGTGAAACAACATTGAAGACAAAGGCAGGACTCTGCCACACTTGCTCTGTACCTATGGCAGCTGTCTGAGTGGCCATCCAATTGGAGAAGCTCAATTCTCACCTCTCTTTTTAGGAAGTGAAACTGCTTATTAAGCTGTAGAACCTATATATTTATAGTAGCTTCTGCCAACTATTTTTCTATTCTTCTCTCCTTGATTGTAATTGCTTTGCTTTCTCTTAAGGCTGTCACCCTCTTGGACCTATAATATCAGTGTTGTCACTCCTTAAAACCCCACCTTCGGGTGTCATAAGAGGCTGTGACAACCTTATTGATGTCTAGATATTAAAAAGCAAGGGAGGTATTTGATTGTGTAGAGTATTGATGTTGAGATTTCAATTTTGCATAACACTGAAACTGGAGATGACATGTACAGTACATTGTAAAGTTGCATACTATAAGGACCTGTAGTTTGAGGAAGAATTTCTAAAGTTTGTGTTTTGTTCTTTTTTTTTTTAGGAGATGGTATTGTTGAACCGATTCCTCTCAATGTCAAAACGGGTATGTACATACTATAAGGACCTGTAGTTTGAGGAAGAATTTCTAAAGTTTGTGTTTTGTTCTTTTTTTTTTAGGAGATGGTATTGTTGAACCGATTCCTCTCAATGTCAAAACGGGTATGTACTTATTTTGGATCATGTTTACCATTAATAACTTACGCTTAAATCTACCACATATATTTGGTCATTAAATACTTTTTTTATGATGATACTATTAGAGTTCTTATCAGAATGAGTCCTCATTAAAATTTTTAAACTTCTAAACCTTTTAAACTATAAATAAAACTGAGTTTCAGTGAGTATAAAGTAAAATTTAAATTACAAAAATAGGACAAAAAAATCATTGTAACCACTGAAAGTACAATGCTAGTTTTGACCACCATTTTAGGAAATATCCTAAAAGTGTTCTGAGATAGATTTATTTATTAAATGTTTTGCTGATACTTTGGATAAATTCAAGAGAAAAAATATGTTATATTGATTGTATTTATATAAAAGTATGACGTTTGATACTGTTTTCCTGATTTTAAAATATTTGTTTAGTATTACCATCTTATATTAGTCTCATCTTATGAGACTAATCATCTTTGTGCAAATCAGATTCTGTTTGGCCTTTTACAAAAAAAAACCTCTAGTGTTTTCTCCTATCATTCTAGTCAAATGATTTTGAGTGATTGTACTCAAATGAGAATTGCATTTAATCTGTAAATACTTAAATTGTCATGTTTTTAATTACAGAGGCAGTAAGTTTCTCATCAGAATTTTCTGTTTGAATAGGGAAAAGTGGCATTGGTCATGAGGCATTGTTAAAACGGAAAGCAGAGGAAAAATTAGAAAGCTACAGAAGAAAGATTCACATGAAAAACCAAGCTGAAGAAAAAGTTGCAGAACAGTTTCGGTAAAATTGTATATTTGAGCTGTTCTTGGTTTCATTTCCTCTTTATTGTGGTATGTTTTCTGGTACTTAGGTATATAAAATGGTTAAAGAGAATATAGACTTTTAGTGTATAATTTTTTTCTTTCAATTAGAATGCGACTTAAAAATAAGCAAGATGAAATGAAGATAGAAGGAGATCTTAAAAGAAGTCAGCGAGCCTGTCACCAATTGGATGTCCAGAAAGTAAGCTTCTTTCCTGCTTTCAGTTTGGTAAAGTGTTTTGGCACCTAGAATGATTTGCCATATATTTTTATTTAAAAAAAAAAAACAACTCTAAGTCTGGTTTATCTACCTTTTACCCATTAAAGTTTTCATTTAATGTGCATTACTGATCTGTGATAATTGATACAGCAATGGCTTATTTGCTGTAGGAACCTGAGCTGTCTGAATTATCCAATAAGGGTAAGATAACATTTTTACATTTAATTGTTCTCTGCTTATTTGAATATTAATTACTCAGGAGTGGTATGAGTAGAAATTTGGTTCTCCGTAATATTTGATAAATCAGAATACCCTATTTTCAGTCCATTTAAACAGTAAAGTCAAGGTGGAATGCCATCTATTTCAGATTTGACTGTTTAAAAAAAAAAATTTCTATCTTCGCTTTTATCTTAGGGTTTCAGGTATTATCAAAATAAAATGACTTTGCCTAAAGTCTGAAAAGTTTTTGTAAAATTTCTCTGATATGGGGGCCGGCCCGGTGGCGCACTGGATAGTGCGCCGCTTGGGAAGCGCAGCGGCGCTCCCGCCCGAGGGTTCGGATCACACGCACCCAAAAAAAGCTAGTAGGGAAACTTGCCAGAATTTGAACCCAGATCTGCCAAAACTCCAAAGTCAGACCATAATTGTGTCTCCCAGTGTGTAAATATCTATCAAATACTTTGTGCACATGTGTGAACATGCCAAACTTTGAATGATTTAAGTATAACCTGTATTTTAATACTTAGGACAGCATCATAAAATTAATTTCTAAATGAATATTGAAATTTATCCAGTTTCTATGTTTAGCAATTGGTGTTAATTTACCTCTCATAAGTGCTAGAAAGGTTCTACAATACCTCCTCCAGCCCTTTTATACTATTCAAGCTTTTTATTAGCCCTAATGTTGATTGCCTTCCCAGGGCATCTACTAGTTTGAGTATAATTTGTCTAATTAAATTTAAAGAAGAGATGTTTCAGGGAGCACCATTTCATCATTTCCTCTTAAACTCTATGCTGTGGACTTTAATGAGGACCTAAACCCCATCTTAACCCAGCCTTAGTTTCAGCACAGATGAGCTGTGCTTGTTAAGACAGTCTTCAGTTGTC